CTCCATGCATTTATCGACTCCCTGGTTAGTCCAATTTCTGAAGTCGATATCAACTAGTTTGAGGACCGCTACGCCAAGTGAACATTTGAATAGAGTTCTTGTCTATATTTCTGAGATGAGGTATCATGTACACTATTTACATTAATCGGCCTATTGTCCTCATATTTGTCATCATATTTATTACAACGTTTCGGCCGTTGTACGCTCCGGCCTTCTTCAGGTGGTTGGAATGTTGAACTGAACCCTTTATTTCGCTCACTGGGTAGACTGTACTAGTTCCACGTGCCATGTCTAATGGATGTCAGTTATCTCCTGTTAATTCCTCTCTGAAAGATTTCCACTACCTTAACCAGGTATTGAAATCACACTCTTTGGGTCATGTCACTGGATCTAACTAACGCCTTTATCAACTGTGCCATGTGTCCTCAAGGATAAAGGTGTTAGTTAGATCCAGTGACAGGACCCAAAGAGTGTGAGTTCAATACCTGGTTAAGGTAGTGGAGATCTTTCAGGGGGGAATTAACAAGAGATAACTGACATAACAAAAACTGACAGCTGATATTAAAAATGATCAGTTGTTAATCGGGGCAACAAATGGCTTGTAAATGTTAACCCGTCTAAACTACAACCTTTTAATTACATCGGTCGACATTTTTTTCGACACAAATGTTTTGGGCAATATCGGCACATGTTTCTGGGCTATTTTTTTCACGCAGAATCTGAAAATCAAGTCCCTTTTTTCCCATCATCACGTTTTCTCAGTACAGATAATTTTTATTTTTCTTAAAATAAGCCAAAATACCTATTTAATAGTGATATGCCAGGGCCAAGTAGAACCAACCTTAAACGTCAACAGGTTAGAATAACATCATAAAAAAAGTATACTAATATCTTAAAGAATGCATTTTCAGTTCAGAAAAGATTCTCAGAAAAATCTCACACAAAATTAAATTAAAGCAAGCATTTGTCATCAATAAACTAGGTACCGTCATTTTACTGTTGAAATAGCTAAGGTGTAAACGTAAGTTCTATTCAAATAGCTTCTTTTCTCGCACTTCTCATTTATGGAACTCTCTTGCGATTAATTGCTTGTCTACGACCTACAATCTTTAAAAATTTTAAATGCAAAGTCAATCGTTATTTTCTGTCTTCTTGAATTTTGTTCATTTATTGTTCTATCTTCCCACTTATGTCTTCTCGTTATGTTTAACTCTCAGATCTTAGTGACATTCATTTATAAGAAAACGAAGAATAACAAGCACATATTAAGAGCAAATTTAAATGGGATTTTCAGATCGGCTATGAAGCATGTAAATCAACACACGTGACAACGATAGCCAATGAACATAGATGAGAAAAGCATTCCCTATTATATGAGAAATACTACCGGGGTAGGGGGAAGTGTTCTAAAATTACATTTGAAGGTCTTAACTAATAAATAGTTAAATAAATTTATTTGGCATGCGAGGATTTAAGGATTAATGAATAATCCTTGGGGAAAGCACAATGATCGGTTTTGTTAATACGTTTTTGTCGTTGATTCTTTCCCTGAAAAAGGAGAAAACGCAAACAGAATGAAAGCAATAAGCAAATAATAATAATAATAATAATATCAATAATAATAATAATAAGAAGAAGAAGAAGAAGAAGAACCCTTTAAATCGGACACATGATTTAAAAAAAAACCCTGAAACTGTAGTAGTCACGCATGCGCACATTCCCATTGAGATATAATAGTTTGTCTGGAAAGTAATATCGCATATTATGGAGACGAAATAAGAGTCCGTCCAAATGTTAAATCCTTTTATCAAAAACATAAACATTATTAGTCAACAAAAGCACAGAAAAAAGTTATCGTATTTTTCGAAATATAAGACCTGTTCATAAGATGCATCCTTATTTTGAAGCTAAAGTTTTTTGGAGAAAAGTTAAAAATAAAAATTCAAAATGATATTTTAAAACTAGTATAAATTGTTTAAAAAAAAAAACTAAAAAAATCGAGATAAGAAAATAAAATTTAATAAATAAAAAGTTTTCTGTTATGTGATTTGGTTCAAAATTTGCATAGAAAGGGAATCAAACATTTCACCAGTCAATGCAATGTTTTGATCAAAGAGAATATCATCCTGATTGCTTTCACTGTTCTTTAGAAAGGGATCAAGTATTTCATCACTGCAATCATTATTTTGATCAGAAGGAATACCATTTTCATGCTTGGAAAGGTTTCAAAAATGTATATAATGGATCTAATATTTTGATCACCGGTGTATAAGACGCAAACAGGATTCTGAAATCACATTTTACGATAATTGCGATTTATACACCGAAAAATACAGTAATTTTATTTCTGGTTGGAAAAACACGGGATGTTGAAAGGAAAACCAGTTTCAACCTCAAAATACAAACTTACACACCATTAAATTTTGATGAGGTGTCAGTGGAATATAATAAGGTTTTACCTGTTTTGAGAACATAGGCGCCATCTTGACGCTCATTCTATATTCCAAAAATTAAGGTGGGGTACAGCGTTGAACTAAAAAAAATCAAAGAGTGTGAGTTCAATACCCGGTTAAGGCAGTGGAGAACTTGGAGAGGGGAATTAACAGGAGATAACAGATAACTGACATCCATTAAAAACATTGCACGTGGAACTAGAATAGTCTACCCAGTGAGCGAAATAAAGGGTTCAGTTCGACATTCCAACCACCTGAAGAAAGCCGGAGCGTACAACGGCCGAAACGTTGTAATAAATATGGCGACAAAGACGAGGACAATAGTCCGAATAATGTAAATAGTGACCCTAGTTGATTTATAAGTGATATCAAGCCCGAGGATTTTAACCCTGAGGTAGCACCTCCCCTATTGCTCTAAGAGAGGGTCGATGGATATCGACGCCAGCGTGACAATGGTTGCGGGGACTGGGTAATATTTGTCTGTGATTCATATGTAATGCCTATGGGTATCCCACATTAAGTCATATGTCACATCCTACTACCGTTAGGAGGTGGTAAATATCAGATTAAAGGGTAGTATATGTTCTTGTCTAAGTTTCGAGGGAATCCTAGTTCTTGAGATTTCAATCTTCAATTTTGCCATTCGTATGTTTATTATTATGTCTGCGTCCAGGACAACGTATCAAATAATCGGAGTAAGAGTCTGAGTAGAAGTAGTCATTAAGAAAACCTGTATCTAGTCTATTTTCCTGGCATATGAAAACGCTCTTTTTTTCTTTTTCTTTTTTAAGCATTACGCCCCGAGCAAGGCGTGAAGCCACTAGGATGCAGGGGGTTGCAGAAGATTTGGAGCAAGAGCATATAGGAGTGATAGAAGAAAGGATGAGGAGAGGGATAGTGGATAGCTCAAGGTAACTGGAGATGTCGATTGACATTACATTTGTATAGTTGGAGATTATAGCTCTCAGGGAAACAGTAATAGGGAAGAGTGTTCCACGGGCGACAGGTGCGAGGTATGAAGCTATTGGAGTAGAAGAGACGGCTACATTTAATACTTTCAACAGTGAAGGGGTGAGAGCGGAATGCCAGTCTCGTAGGGCGCTTGAATTCATGAAGTCTGGGAACCAGTGAAAGCAGCTCATCGGAGCAATTACCATGAATGTATTTGTAAAAAAGACAGAGAGAGGCGACGGCGCGTCTGTGAGAGAGTGACTGTAGACGAGATGCCAGATCAGAGCCAATTATATTACATATCCATCTCTGGATCTTGTCAAGAACTCCGAGGTAAACCGAAGGTGCACCAGACCATATATGGCAGCAATACTCCATGCAAGGGCGAATGGTTGATTTGTATATTTGAAGTATCGATTCCGGGGAGAAAAATTTCCTGGCGCGGCACAGAGAGCCAACTTTCCTCGCGGTGGACGAAGCAATTGACTCAATGTATTTGTTCCATCTCAGGTCAGCAGTCAACGTGAGACCGATTAAAAAAAAAAAGATTTTTGTGAAACAATTTCTGGAATATAAAAATGTTGGATTTCCACCTCGTCTGTGTTCTTTTCTTTTTTCTTTGTGAATTGAGTTGAATATTTTTACAAGGCCAACTTTCCCTCCCTCGACTTTCCACAATGTAAAAAACTTTCAAACTTCATGCCTTCTTTCCATCACTGGATTAATTATTTTCATTCCGTATTTTCAGATACTGAGCCATCCAAATATTTAGAACTTTTTCTTTTTGCGTTAGGGTGAAGGATGCGGTGAATATTTTTGGCTTTCTTTTTTTGGCACGACGTGTTTGCTTTCGATGCCAGCGAGGAAGAGATCTAACATCTCTGACCTGTTTGTCAACAAAATTGAAAGAGAGCTAAAACAAAATAAGAGATTTAACTCTTAACATCATTGGAAGAGTAAATCTTATTCAAACTTGACAAATCCTTTCACTCAGTTCTTACGTTTCCTTCCTTTCTTGACCTTCCGAGTTTAGATCTGCAACAAGACATTGGCTCAAATTCAGCGCAAATGATCCGCCAACCTTTTTTTTCTATTTTTTCTTTTTATTTTGACATAAGTTCATTTTTTTTAAAGTTACATATGATAGACAAGGAGAAGAATTATTCTTGAAATAATTATTTTTAAGTTACCTTTTATATTTTTTAACCAGGAACCTCTTCTCTCTACTGTCAAACGGAGAAAAATGGCGTGTTTTGGACACATTACAAGGCACAACAGCCTGCGCAAGACCCTTATATAAAGCAATGTCGAAGGTGGACGTAAGAGAGGACGCCAACGCAAAAACTGGTTTTGTGGGATACCAGGAACCTCTTCTCACCACTGACAAACGGAGAAAAATGGCGTGGTTTGGACACATTAGTAGGCACGACAGGCTGTGCAAAACCATCATGCAAGTCACCATTGAAGGTGGACGTAGGAGAGAACGGCAACGCAAAAACTGGTTGGACAATATCAAACTATGGACAATTATGACTGTACCAGAATTGCTGATGGCTGCCGTTGATAGACCATTGTGGGTGAGACACGGGATGTGTATCAAAGGCGAGAGACACGGCATTTGGCCGAGGGGTCGGCCGTCGGTTGCCGGGGAGGTGGTGCGGATCGGGACCAGCGTGGTTTCCGCTGTCGGTGGCGGTGGTGGTTGTGGTTGGGGAGCGGGTTGTGTTCGCGCTCTTTTTCCGCTGCTGTTGCTGCTGGAGGCGGCGATCGTCTTAGTGGCGCTCTTGTTTTCTTCTCTGTCGGGTGGGTCTCTATCTCTTCGTTGGGCCGTTGTGCTTTTCTCGTTCCGGTTTTTCCGGCCTTCGCCGTGACTGGCGTTGTTCGGTAACATCGAACCTGAAATACCACCACTTCCGTTATTTCCTCGCTCATCCGGTGAAAAAGAGGACCGGTCACTCGGCGGCCCTCTTGGTAGCGCCAACGACGCGAGCTCCAACACGATTGGGGCCCACGCTCGAACATTAGCCGGGGGACCGTGCCGGGAAGGGAGTTTGACTGAGGCAATACGTCTGTCAAAGTGTAACGCAGGTGTCCCAAGGCAAGCTCAGCGAGAACGGAAACCTCGCGTCGAGCAAAATTGCAAAAGCTCGCTCGATCTCGATTTTCATACGAATACGGACCGCGAAAGCGTGGCCCATCGATCCTTTCCGAGCGGAGAGCTCCGTTCCGCCGAGAAATGTCAGAAAAGTTACCACAGGGATAACTGGCTTGTGGCGGCCAAGCGTTCGTAGCGACGTCGCTTTTTGATGTCAGCTATTCCTATCATTGCGAAGCCGAATTCGCCAAGCATTGGATTGTTCACCCACTGACATGGAACGTGAGCTGGGTTTAGACCGTCGTGAGACAGGTTAGTTTTATCCTACCGATCGGCACGTGTGTTACGTCGGCCGTGGCCACGGCTATCCCGTCCAGTACGAGAGGAACCGCGGGATCGGAGAAACGGTTCGCGTGATCGCTCGAACGAGCGGCGGTGTCACGCTGCCTCCGCGCGATAACGGCTGAAAGCCTCTATGCCAGAATCGCGACTGGTGCCGTCACAGTATTACGAAAGACGTTTCTTTTCGTTCCGCTGAACCCTGCCATAACGACTGCGGTTGTCAGTGTCTGCGTCGGTTGCTGTCTCTTCGCACGCGGCGGCGTCCGCTAACGGGCCACCCGATTTGATATCCGCGACCGGCGGGATTTTGCCGTTGCCGTCTTATTTCGAACGGAGGTGGGGTTCGAAATAAGAGAGCGACGGCGCACGATTACAAAAGTCAAGGAGATAATGATAATAATGATGATGATTATATTTTTTTAATAGCATTTCATAATTTATACAAATATCTTTTGCAACTGATTATACTCGATAACAGATGATAGAATGATAGATATTGATTAAAATAGTTTCACTTTTCGTCAAGAATTTATTCCAACAAAGTTTCTTAATTACACTAAAAAGAAAATATAAATATCTTTGTCCATGTTCTTCAATATTTATTAAAAAGAACTATGTCATATTAGTATTCACGGTTGAACCTGTTATTTATATGGTTTCAATACGAAAAATATTGTTATTTGTTTTGTCAGTTTTCAATATAAGATATTACAACTGTAATATATAAATTGAGATGATTTAGTCCGACAGTGGTACAAAACAAGAAGATGTGTATGGCACTCTGTAAGAATCGAAATGTTACAGTATTAATGTTAAGCATTATCTAGAGATTCTTGATAAAATGCAAATCAAAATCAGCAACATTAACGGTCCTGACCTGGTATCTCAGCTTCAATTATTTTTCCACAGCCATAGCTTGTCTGTACCTTTGCTAGAAATATTTTCATGATAATTGGTTTGATGAGCCTTCCACTTTGGTAAGTCAATATAAGTCAATTTAAGCGCAGTACTAGATTGGCAATTAGGTCTCATCATTTTACTGATGAAATAGCGAGATGTAACCAAAGTTCTATACTAATAGTTTCTTTTCTAACATCTTTCCGTCTTGTCAAATACGATCTTCAAAATGTTTAATGCAACGTCATTCGTCATCATCTGTCTCCATTAATCCTGTTCGTTACTGTCCTCTCTCTTCAATAATGTGTTCTCACTTTTTCTTCACTATCAGTAACCCCCTTGCGTCTCAGTGGTTTTATCGCCTTGATTGGCGTGAAATGATTTTAAAAAAAGTACTTCACTGTCAAGTGACCACTCATATGACATATTTAAACTTACAGTTGACAGAAGTCAAATCTGTAAGGTATGCCCGGAAATATTAACGCTTAAAAAAAAATGATATACCATGTTTTAATAGCGTTAACCTTTGTCCCGTCATAGTACTTGTGGAAACTCAAATACTTATCGCAGCGTATCTTCCACTTTTTAAGTCTACAAAGTTTTCTTTAATGATCACAATCATTCACTCACCACATTCTCCTTAATCTCACCCTCGGTCGAAAATCTCCCTTTTTAACGGTGATTTTATTTTTTGGAAGAGCTAGAAATCGTAGAAAGACACAATGTCGACTTTTTATAAAAATTCGTTATCTCAAATGCTGATTTACTCTCGTCCCAATAATAAAATCTCTATTTATTTACAAAAAGGCCGTAATTTTTGTTTTTTGTTTTATTCCCGCTTATTGATTATTTTTAGTGGGGGAAATCACTGAGATCTTATATCCGGCAACGACAGCGATCAGTGTTCGATCGGGTTTCAATACTGAATTTCAAGGCAGATCGATATATTATAGAGATACTGACTCAAAAAATTCTTAGACATATCAGTATCTTGTAATGTTGACAATATCCTAGGATTACAATATTTGTCCATTTTTAAGTTTTGGGAGCAAATTTAGTATATTGTAAATATTTACAATGTTGACAAACAGAAAGAAAAGATTAACCAATTACTGTATATTCAGATTAACATAGTATAGTATAAAACCAATAAGAGGAAAAAGTGATGGGGGGAAGATTGTGTTGCATCAATCTTCTAATTAGCAAGAGTGTGAATGTCTTGTAAATCAGTATTTCAAATGCTGTTTTCTTAAGCTAACTCAGTAACGGGCTATTCATTTTTTTATTCAACTCGATTATTTGGTACTAATCAGGAATGTTTCAACAGACTCAAAAAAAATCGATTGGTATCTGGTGAGAACAGTAGCAAGATTCTTGGGTGGAATTATAAGAACCATATTTGGTTTGTAGAATTTGCAGTTGGTTCAAATGTTAACGGGAAATCAGGGAGACAATTCCAGTCGAACTGTTTACATTCATTTTTGCGCATATGCCTTTGTGAAATGTATGAATCCATCTCTTCAACCCGCTAGCTATGGGTTGAAGAGCAAGCTCTGTGGCAACCCGTCTAGAAGAAGGAAAGCTGAATTCAAAATCGTATATAGCCCTGGCATAGGACATACTATGCAGCCATTAACAAGATCATGGTGTTCACAGCGGTCGACCTACCACCATGACGATGTATTATAATCATTATCTTATTTTCAAGAATATCTTGGACCGTTAACATTACAGTTCGGTCATTTCTTGGCGTTTCACATTTGCAAGTTTGTGCCAGAGTAAGTTTGTTGGTTGATTGTGTAGCGGCATATCAACCACTATGGGTCATTTAATGCCGAAATCTAAATATCTTTAACAGAATTATTTGGCTTCAACTAAATATATTTTGAATGCAATTGTATGCCTTCAACTAAAGATAAAATGTATTGCTGGTAATTCTACTACAAAATATATTGTTGGTAATTTTACTATGAATAGGTATTTGTGGTCATTTTAGTACGAATAGATATTGGTGGTAACTTTACTGTGAATAGGTATTTGTGGTAATTTTAGTACGAATAGATATTGGTGGTAACTTTACTGTGAATAGGTATTTGTGGTAATTTTACTATGAATAGGTATTGGCGGTAATTTTAGTATGAAAATATAATGGTGGTAGTTTTACGATGAATAGATATTGGTGGCAATTTTACTATGAAAAGGTATTGGTGGTAATTTTTTAATATAAAAATGTATTGTTGGTATTTTTACTATAAAAATGTATTTATATGTGTTTTGTTTTGGTTGAGGGTTCACTATTTGCCCTTAGCTGGTAACTCGATACCACCCCGGGTCAGGGTGGACCGAGAAATACCAGCAATTAAGAGGTGGTTCCACGCTCCTCAAAAGTTGCCAATCAGAGACCTTGCTGACGGATGTAGTTTATCGTCAGGACTACCAAGAGTAAATTAAACTTTGCATAACGAGCATATTCCTTCGTATGGCGATGGTTAACAAACTAGCCTAACAGGCCAAATGTTAAAATAGTTATGTCACTGCTAGATGTCATACGGGGTTTTACGGACAGCATTGCGGTTATCGACACGGAAACTTGAATTGGCGAGCCGGGTTCAAATTTCAGCTTAGCAAGTTGCATTCACTTTTACGCAAATTCTCTACCCCTTTCTCCCCACCAGCAGGGTATAATGTACTATGAAGTCTTGAGTAGCAATCAGTCTAAGCGAAGAGAAAATCTTGAATTCGACGTCTTGAAGAAGGCGACTTGAAACAACTACACTATCATTTCCAAGAAGACATGGCAATTCAAAGATAATAAAGAAAAGGGAATATGTGGACAGCAATGACTGTTTAGGTTCCGAAGGACATGGCATCCTTTCCGAATTTTCCAAGGTGGTCGTCTGGGGGTGCAAAATGATACATATATTTTACTGGAAGTTCTATTATAAGATAGGCCTTTAATCCTCGGAGAAGATTTTTACACTATTTTTAGTGCAAGCAACCCACTGAGTTAACTAGACTCATTGAGTAATCTAGATATCAGATGATACACCTGACCATTGATGAAAATATGTGAACTGATCACAGGAGCAACACGAGTGCTATCGAATAATAATAATAATAAATTCCTTTTATAAATAGACATAAATTTGGGCTTACATAAAACAATTGTATTGCCTTATAATCCTTTATTCAATATAAACAAGTGATCCCGACCTTGTACCTAAGTCAAAAGCATAATAACTCAGGCGAACGCTCTGATTCTTCTATCAGCCTATTAGCCTTCTACCTCTTTTTGGTAATGTACTGAATGCTCTAATCAACTCCTAATTGGTTAAGCATCCCACCTCGAAGATTTCTGTTTCAGATAAGCAATATAACTTCTGATTCTCTAGGCCATCTACTGATGTATTAACGATTATTGCTTCAGATAAGAATGATAAAGCTCCGATTGTTGCTTTGGATATTTCGAAGGCATTTGATAGGGTTTGCTATGCTAGTCTTCTTCACAAGGTGAAAGATTATGGTATTTCTCGGTGAATTTTTGAACTTATTGAGTCTTTCTTATCGAATCTCGGAATGAAAGTTGTCTCGAATGGCCACTCTTCTAGATCTTTTTACATTAATGCAGGCGCCCTCGTGGGTCTATCCTTGGACCTACATTGTTCCTAATTTTTATCAGCAACCTATCTGGTGGCATCAATTCCCAACATGGTATCTGTGTTGATGATACAACCCATTTACTCTTGTCTTAATAATAAGTCTCATCAGTTCACTACGGTCAAATTGGCAGATGATGTAGAAAATGATCTACAGCTTTTTGTTAACTGGAGCAAGGAATGGCTTGTTAATTTTAACCCCTCCAAAACGAAACTGTCCTCTATTGATCATCTGAGAGAACCCATTCTGCCTTCCATCAGAATGGCTGATGCTAACATTCAGGAAGGTGATTTGTGCGGCTTCTCGGGCTAACGTTTTCCACGGACATAAAGTGGGAAGATTATATTGCGTCAATTGCTAGGTCTGACACTAGAAAAATTTGTTTCACTATGTCGAGCTAAACAATTTTTCTCCTCCGAATCTACACATATATCTATACATATTTATAAGTATACCATTCAACTATGCATTGAATATTCCTGCCTCATATGGTCTGATGCTCCTGCTATATATTTAAAGATCCTTGATAAAATGAAAAGAAGAATCTGCAATGTTATTGGTCGTGACCTGGCATCTCAGCTGCAGTCACTTTCCCATCACCTTCTTACCTGTGCCTTTTCTATAAATACTTTCATGATGATTGTTCTGATTAATTTTCTTCTATAATACCTAGACTCTATGAATTTAAGCGTCAAACTAGAATGGCGAGAAAATATCATTTTATAGTTGAAATGGCGAGATCTAACCGGAAGTTCTATCCTAACACGTTATTTTTTCGCACTTCTCGCTTTTGGAACTCTCTTCCGGCTTCTTGGTTTCCAGTCAAGTTTGATCTTCAAAAATTTAAATGCAATGTCAATCCTTCTCTTCTGTCTTTTTAATTCTTGTTCTTTTATTTTTTTTCTGTATTTTTATTGTTCTCGATTCTTAAAAATGCTTTTCTTTTTCTCATATTTTTTCATACTAAGTAACCAAGTGTGTCTTAATGGCTTTATTGCCTTACTTGGGGGTAATAATTAAAAGATAAATAGAATTCACTATATAAGGTAGTCCTGAAGCAGATATGAGTTTAATATTAATCTCACTCTTACTTAGATTGAATACATCAACTGACTGATTATCTTAAATACTGATCGCGACTTAAGTTGTGCTTGGGGCATATTAATAATTTTTTTTTTTCAGCCTTCCCATGGGAAGATTTAATTTTCGTCACAACACACACTCAATACGTTCTCTTCTTATTCTTTTTGTTCCCACGTCATCTATCTTGCCTCTTTTTTTATTTTGTTATTCTTTTACGTATCTAAGGAATTCTTTTTCATTTTTTTTTATCTTTTTTCATTCAACTTTTCTCACTTTATGTTTTTCTTTCCCTTTTCTCGGCATACATTCTGCTTTTTATGTGTATCTTCTTATGAAAGACGACGTTTAGCCACGAGACTCGCCTTCCCGGATGCTTTATACGGTTTGGTTTGTTTTGTTTTACGGTATATCAACCTCAATGGGTTATTTAATGCCGACAAGATTTTTATTGCTGGTAATATATATATTTTTTAAAAAATGTATTGCTTTTAATATTTTTTCTTCAAATATGTACTGCTGGTAATAATGTATTGCTGGCAATAATTTTTTACAAAAATGTTTGTTGGTAATAAAACCTATTTTTACACGTTCATGGTGTTTTGACCTTAGTACGGAGGTTAACTATTTTCCCATAACTGGGACCCTAACAGCTGCTACCACCCCGGATCAGGGTGGACCTGGGGACATCAGCAATTAAGAGGTGGTTCCACGTTCCTCAAAACCTCCTGTCGGGCCTAGCTTATCGTCTTACCCTGGACGCGGATGTAGTTTATTGTTATACCCAGGACACGGATGCAGTATACGGTTTTTCTATTTTTTCGACCGGACAAAAATTTAGGGAATTACTAATTTTCCGTTAATATACTTGATAACATGAGCCAGAACCTCACACGAGAGTGCAAATAATGTGGGCCTCTCTAAAAAGGATTATGACAGATAACCCCTGTTTATTTAATCAAATATGACGCTGAAATTCAAAGGCGAATAGCGAAAAATGTCTTTCAAAAGTAAACAAAATAAGAAACGGGAAGATTTCGTTAGACTCAAAGAAAAATTCCTGAAATTCTATCTAATATCAATCCTCCGATGTGTCAATGAATGTTGTAAAATTTCTTCACTGATGAAGTGGAGACTTTAGGCAACAGAAATGTTCTACAGAAGGATGCTGAGAATATCATGGATGGAGCATGTGAGCAACATGGAAGTTTAAAGGAAAATGGAAAGAAAAAGAACATTTATACTTAGAAACAGAAAGAGATATTTGAAGTTTTTGGAGCACATAATGTGGAAAGAATGCTTGGAGAATTTGACACTCACAGAACATATTAAAGGGTCAGAAGGAAATAGCGAATAACCTGCCTAACAAACTTACGGAAATGAAAGGGTTATCAGAGACTTGGAGTGATTATAAAAGGACGCACATTGCTAAGAGCTACAAAGGACAGAAAATTTAGGAGAGCCATAATCGTCCACATCCCGAAGGAACACGACTCACAGAAGTTGCAGTTTTCAGTCTCAAGACTTTGGTGTATACATAAACTTGCAAGTAATGCATTTATGATAAAAACAAATGTTAACTTGCTCGAATTGTGTATAATGTTGTTCGTTCAATCTTCATAAGTGATCCGCTATTGTGGCTTTGTATCTGTTGTGACCAAGTAAATGTTTGAAGAAAAAACAAAAAAGTATTGCAGATATATCATATATTAAACAGTAAGTACATCATAAGAGTATTAAACGACTAGTTGACCCAGCGTTCAATATATTCGACTGTTGATATTTAGCAGTAATGATCAATCTGTTCGACTGTTATATTTAACACCCCCCACGAGGGATATATGTGGCACAAGACCGAGTTTACCGTGGGTTCTCCGACCTCAGAGGCTTGACCAAAAATATTCCCTTTGAACCCGCCTAAACAGATTCTGAGACTGTCTACCTCCCCTGACGAAACTCTGCCCTTCGGCAAAGCCTCGTCCGAGTTCCTCTCCGCTTAAGGCAGAGAGTTCGACAGAAATGAACAGTCTGTGCGATTGTTCCCTCAAGGTCTTCTCTCCTACTAATCTTATAGTAGGCGGAAGAGTCCAACATAGACACTTTAGAGGGAGGACACCACAACAGTATCAGACAAAACGAAGCTAAGTAAATACAAGATCTTTCCGAAAGCTTTGCGTAAATCGAATATATGGATCGAATGTAAGTTATTTGCCGTTATCATTTGAGAACATAACTCATTGTGCGCTGGACTTAGGACAACATCACAAGCAACGTCGAGTCTGGACAATACCTAGATAGGTGACTGCTTAGGAATACGAGGTGCAGCAGATAATGGCTCAGAATAGTTAACCAGATAGCCCACTTCCAATTCCAGTTGGGTTAAATTACGCGCATTCACTCTTGGGCGAAACCTCCGAACTGGTGGGTGTTTGCTGGTGTCATTTTTTTCAGCAGTTTTAAGGCAATCCGCCATTTTTTAAATTATTTTTAAACTCATGTTACATTGTCAGTCATATCATGTCATGGCGTTTTTTTTTTTTTTTTTTTTTTTTTTGTACTTTTTACTTTTTTTCTACCTAAATTATATTGTCAATCATATATAATAATCGACAGGGCCGGTGCTTTCTACTCCGAACCTCTCAACCGCGCGGGGGTCCCATGATAACTGGGGAAGGAGCGTAGAAGTGCTAATTTCAGTAGAGCTTATTTTTTAAATTGTAATTTTCTTTCTGAACAGTTCTTTTAAATCAATTAAGAGGGTAACATATCTCGGTAAAATTATTTTTTATTCCGAGATCATCCACTAAGAAGGATCATTGATTTATTTTTTTATTTACTAATAGTAATACTAACCAAAAGTCCACGGCTAGTATTTAAAATAAAATTTCTAGAACTAAATTTTTACATTTCTAGAAAAATAAAACTGAGAAAATGATCACTTAAAAAATAAATCTATTTAAAGATTTCAACATGAAAAATTTTACCGAAAACTGAAATACTGTTTTTAAAACAAATTTTTAAGACATTCTCATTCGTATTGTGTTGGAATCTTTGTAAAACTTTTTTTTTTTTTTTAGAGGAGATGCGTCGGCGATTAATCTTTATGGAAATCTAAAAATTTGTGACTGAAACATTTTTTCGAGGAAAATTTAATCATGAAAATATTGGCAGTTATTACAAAAGAATAACATTTTCTCAGATCGGGAGATTGAAGGTTTTGAGGAGTGTGGCACCACCTCTTAATTGCTGTTGTTATCAAGTCTACCCTAACTCGGGGTGGTAGCACCTGTTAGGGTCCCAGCTATGGGTAAATAGTGAACAGCCAAACAAAAGCAAAACACTATCAAAGTATAAAAATACATTATTATAGTAAGACTACCAGCAATACCTATTTATAGAAAAATG